CCAGGGAGGGCCAAGAGTCTTAGTTTTTTTACCTTTTCAGCTTCTTCATTTTGTGGTTTTCCTTAAGAGACACTAGTATCTTTATAGTTACTGCCGACTCTGTATACGAATACCATTTTCTAAGTGGAGGTAACCCTGGCTTACATCATGCTTTGTGTTCTGGAGGTGCAGGCTGTCCCCCTTCACTGGGCACCCACCGCCCGGACACCTGGAGTTCCCCCGCCAAGTCAGTGTGCCCCCGCTTGGTCTGCCCCTCTCCTCTCCAGAACCTGTCGTTGATTTCACCTGGCCCTTCGTGTTGTCTGATTCTGAGAGACGCTCTCCAGGGTTTGCCTCTCCCCGGAGCCCCCTCCAGCTCCATCCAGGTTGCCACCGATGGCAAGCGCTCACCTTTTCTCTTAGCTCTGGGCGCCCCGCTGTGTGGGAGGGGCATACCTCTGTGCGTGCACACAGGCCACGCCTGCGGGTCCCTGGCCTGCCTTCGGGCGCTCGTGTTGCTCCCATCGCGTGGCGGTTGGAGGCGCAGCTGTGGCTGACGGTGCGTGTTTCCCTTCAGGCCAGGCCAGTGTGCTGCGCTCTTTGGCAGGCGCCCGGGGTGGAGCCGCTGTCCGTGTGGACGGCAGAGCCGTGTTTAATCTGAGAAACCTCCGTACTGTTTCCTGTGGCGCCTGGGCCGCCTGCGTCCCCGTCGGCAGTGCACCAGACCCTTTTCTCCACACCCTGGCCGGCACCTGGCTTCTTGTCTGGGTGGGGCCCGCCTTGCGTGTGGCAGGAGCCTTGCTGTGGTCCTGCATGGTATTCCCCTGACACTAAGTGAGCAGGAGCATGTTTTCGTGTGCTTTCGTCTGTGTGCCGTACTTGGAGAGCTTTGTGTCCATTTACTAATTGGGTGTCTTGTTGTTGAGTTGTATGTCGAGTCTTTTTGTCCCGAGTAGATTGTTGATACCAGCCCCTGGCCAGAGGTGTGCTGTGTAAGTACTTCCTCCTGCTCAGTAGGGTGTCTTCTTTAGTGGCAATTTCTTTTGCCCTGCAGAAGCTTTCCAGATGGATGTAGTCCCAGTGATGTTATTCTTTGTCACCCTGCTGCTAGAGATGAATCCACAGGGGCATCACCGACGCCAGGGCTGCGGAGGCTTTTGCCTGCTGGCGTCTGTGTGTTTTGTGGTCCCAAGTCTCACATCTAAATCTGCCTCTTCTGAGTTGATACTTTGTGTGGTTTAGCTCAGTTCTTTGCATGAACTTTATATTTCCCAGGACCACTTATTGAAGAGGCTGCCCTTGTACGTTCTTGACTCTTTTTCATGGATGAACTGTCCATTGAGGTCTGGGTTTATTTCCATATTCCCAGTTGTTTGGCTGGTCTGCTTGTCTCTTCTACCCCATGCCACACTGGCGCGCCTCTTAGAGGTCCGTGGTGTGCTGTGAAGCCTGGAAGTGTTACCTGCCAGTCTTCCGTTTTGTCCGATCGCTTTCGCTATCTGCAGTCTTTCTGATTCCGTGTGAATTCCAGGGATGCTGTTCTGTTCTGTGGAGATGCCACTGAAAAGCTGATAAAGATGCCATGGACTCTCCTGCTCTGACTGGGACGGCCATTTTGGCAGTGTTAGGCGTTCCAGTCCACGAGCAGGGACTCGCCTTCCATTTCATTTGTCATCTTCTGTTTCTTCCAACAGTATCTCGGAGTTTTCTTTGTGTAGGCCCCTCGCCTCCTTTGTTGAGTGTACTCCTAGCTACTCGTGTGTTTGGATGCAGTTGTAGATGGGTTCTTTTCTTACTGTCTTCTGTTCTAGCCCATGGTTTGCATCTAGGAAAGTGCTGATTTGTGTGTGTGGATATTGTAACCTGCCACTTTACTGAAGTGATACTTTAGTGAGTTAGTTTCCCCAGAGTCTTTAGGGTGCTCTGTGTTATTATTGATACATACTCTATTGGTCATGCCTGGTTAGACTTCCGAGGAAGGGTGAAACTTACGCTTGTCACAGGAGAAGAGGAAAGCGCCGCTCAGAGTCTGAGCAGTGGCCATCATTATTTTCTTTCTATAAATAGACCTGCCATCTTTTACCTTCCCAACACAAGCCGAGGCTCTCTTGCTCTCTCGCTCACCTACACACATGGGCACGCACACACGCATGCACACACTCTCTGTTCACTGACAAGAAAGTCGCTGCACAGAGGGAGGGACACGGTCGGCTCCAGGGAGCACACATAGCCCTGGTCCTGCACAGAAGCGTCTCTGACCAGTGGCCTTGTCATCGCCCCGTGGGCGTCTGGTTGTGGCCGTCATAAGCAAACTTTCATGGCTTTGCGTCCAGCGCCGATGGGGCCCTTGGAGTGAGTATCAGTGCGCCCGGCGGAGCCATTGCTTCTGTCCCAAACTGGACGCTGAGAGGGACCCAGCTCATGAACGGGACGTCCATGTCTTCTCCCAATGCGTGTGGAGGCATCGCCCTGATACTTTCAGGTAAGGAGGCTGCCCAGCACCGCCACGGCTGACTGACTTCCACTCCCACCTTCCCAGTAAAGTGATGGAGAATACTGACTGCTTAGCTGTAGCTCGGTCACTGTTTTACTGCTTTCCTTAATGAAGTAGAAGTGGCGTTATGAAATGGAGCCTAAACGTATCATTTTATACTTCCCCTCAGCCTTCGTTCTAAAGGCTAGGCTTGATTGCCAGTTAGGTAAGTGGAAAGTGTCTAGACAGTTGGGCTCTTGGCTGTTCCCCGGCATCACCCAGGGAGATTTTAATCTAGCTGAGTACCTGGATCCAGTCTCAAAAGGTTTTGCTGTAATTGGTCTGTGGTGAGGCTTTGGCATCTGTTTTGCCTTTTTGACTTTAAGTTCCCTTGGTGGTGTGACTCGTCGTGGGGTTGAAAACCACCACCCGCCACCCTACGACTGGCCAGCAGTGTTGTAGAGAAGATGCCGCCCGAGCGCCTTTTGTATCTGCCTCACACCTTCGCATCGCCCCGCGCTGCCCGCAGGGACCTTTGTGTGATGTGCGCACAGCGACTTTGTTGAATGAGGTCTCTCTGTAATGCTAGATCATATGAGCCAGGTGGCTTAGCTCTGTTTTAAAAAAAAGCAACAAAAGTTGGCAAAAGCCGGCGTTGAAAGCCAAGGCACGGAGGTTAGAGGTTGTGCCTGTGATCTCTCCCGGAGGGGTGACGGGGTCTCAAGCCGCCAGCTCACTAGCTTTATTTATTTATTTATTCTTTGATCTTAGGTCTGAAAGCAAATAATGTCAACTACACAGTGCATTCTGTCAGAAGAGCTCTGGAAAACACTGCAGTGAAGGCTGACAACATAGAAGTATTTGCCCAAGGGCATGGCATCATTCAGGTATTCCTGTTTGTCGTGTAAATCATTGAGGCAAGGCCTTGGCTATTGCTGTATTTCCATTTACATAAGGACAGCTACGTAGGTCTGGATCTAGATCATATGACCAGAGCAATTTCTGGGCTGTAAGCGGAGAGCGTAGGAAAACAAATTTTTAGTTCAGACAGACTTGGTGCACTAAGACAGAGAGGTAAAATAGATGTAGGCTGTGAACTGGGTGGAAATTCGGAGCAGAGGCAGGGGGTAAAAGCTGGCCAGTCAGAGTGGCCTCTGCAAATGTGCCCGACCGTGCTCGGGGACAAAGGGTGAAGAGAGTGGCTGAAAGGGACTCCATGGCGTAGACTGGTATTTTCTCCCTGAAGAGGTAGAATTACCCTTATCGGAGTTACTTCGTAGTTTCGAAAGCTGAGCATAGAAAGTTTTTGCTCAGGTTTTACACCAGCTAAAACCAAGCGGGTCATTTATGGTGAGATAGGTCTGTGCCCCGACCAGGTGTGCCTTACTGTTCTGTGTTCTTTTAATTAGGTTGATAAGGCATATGACTACCTCATTCAGAATACATCATTTGCTAACAAGTTAGGTTTCACTGTTACTGTTGGAAATAATCGTGGCATCTACCTCCGAGACCCTGTTCAGGTGGCCGCCCCTTCCGATCACGGCGTTGGCATTGAACCTGTGTTTCCAGAAAATACTGGTAAGTAAGAAGCAGGCACTAAGCTGAAGTGCGTAGCCCCCACTTTTGGTTTGAAGACTAGTGTCGTACAGGGAAAAGATGAGTTGGCAGTATTATTTCTAACCCTGTGGATTTGGGGGGGAAGAGGAGGGTCACTGGAGATCCTGATGCAGTGGCCACTCAGCTGGCATCTGGCTGCCAAGAAACATGCAAGAACAGGCCTTTGGTGACTTGAGTGTGGATAGTAGCGCCTCGAACTGCTTTTCGTTCCCACTTTCACCACTGGGGTGGCAGACAGAGCTCTCACCCGGAGTGGGAAGTAGACTCGGCTGGGGCGCCGCAGCTCCAGGGCAGTGGACAGGGCTGGCCGCTGTGGCTGCGAGCCCCCGTTTCAGTCAGACGCTGGCATAGCGTCGTCACGAGAATCAGCTGCTGACGTGCTACGGGGTCCGCGCTGAGCGTGGAGCAGGTCCGGTGGCTGCTGGTGGCCAGGGCCCTGACTCGGCCAGGTCACGCTCTGGAGGCCCGCCCCTCGTGGGCCGCACAGCTGCCCGGGCGCGTTTCACAAGTTTCTTGATAGAAGATAGAACACTACTAGTGGGGAAGACACGGAAGAAATACTAATTGTGAGATTTTGGTCTTCTTGTTGCCAGAAAACTCTGAAAAAATATCCCTTCAGCTTCATTTAGCTTTAACTTCAAACTCGTCTTGGGTTCAGTGCCCCAGCCATTTGGAGCTCATGAATCAGTGTCGTCACATCAACATACGCGTGGACCCCAGAGGCCTGCGGGAAGGGCTGCATTACACAGAGGTACCGGGCTCCCCGCTCTCCCTGTGCGAGGCGAGGCTGCCGCGTGTGGCGGCCCTTGCCGGGTCAGGTCAGCCAGGCGAGGGCTGGCCTGCGTGCGCTTGTCGGGCCACGGCCGTGAGTTATGTGACCCAGCGTCAGAAAATGGATGTCGCCTTGTGCTTCGGATTTTTAAATTCAACATTAGATTAATTTATTCTCTGAGTAGATTCCTTTTGACCTATTTTTTTTTTTTTTCCTGTCAAAAGTCTGTTTGCTGATACTGAAACCTGCCGTTCTTTTTCGAGGTGTGTGGCTACGACATAGCATCCCCTAACGCAGGCCCTTTGTTCAGAGTCCCAATCACCGCCGTGATAGCAGCCAAGTAAGTAATAAGCCCTGAACAGCTCGCTCGTACACAGAATGTTTTGATTGGCTCTTTACGGAAACAATGTGAACTGCTCGGGGCCAGCAGGCAGAGGCAGGAGCCGGGATGTAGCTGCCCCACGGTCTGCTCAGCCCCGGCTGCAGCACGCGTCCTCGGTGCCCCACTCAGAGGGCAGCCGAGCCTGCGTCTGTCCCCCTCCCCACCCCCCGCCCCCCGCCCCGCGCACACTCGCCCCCTTGTCCTGCGGGAACCCTGGTTTCTCCTCCTCCTGCTTTTCCTCGACTCTTCCTTTTTCTCCTTGCCTCCCCCCGGCCCAAGGAACGCAAATGCAGTAGTGCCACTTACTGCTTCAAATGCGCTGGCGGCGCCCAAGGCTCCCGTTCGTGCCCTTAAAGTGGCACGCAGTGGCCCCTCGAAGCCAGCGCCCGCTGCCTTGCCAGCGCCAGGTCGGCACTGCCGCCCCCACGAGGCTCCCGTGCCTCGCCGACTCCCTGCTGCCCCGTGGTGCTTTCCACGCGCCGTGGCACTGACTTCAGCTGGCACTGTGGGGTCAGTTGTCCGCTTCACCACCTGACCGTGAGTCTGGAGGAGCACAGGGGCCTCCCCACACGCCCCTGCCTGGAGCCACCGCGGAGTCCGAGCGGCCCAGCTGGCTCAGGACGCGCGAGGCAGGACGGTGGCATCGTCGGCTGCTCACGGCAGCGCCCGCGGAGTGGCTGCCCGGTCAGTGTGGGCCAGGCCCGGCCGGCCGGCCTGCGGCAGCCATGGCCCGTGTCGGGTCTCCCTAGTCGGAGCGACGCATTTCCCCCTCCTGCTTCCCTGGTCCCGCCAGCAGCGCTGCGGGAGCGTGTGTCCTCGTCACTGTGCCGCTCTGCTGGGGAGCGCCTGGGGGCTGCAGGAAGTGGCTTTGCGGTCCCCGAGCCGCCGGGCAGCCCCCAGCCGTCAGCGAGCCGTCTCAGGCTTCGAGGGTCCTGGCGACAGGAGCGTCCTCTGAGTTTTGTGTGAAACCACAAGAGAGGGTTTTGTTTAATTGTGTGTGTCTCACAGACACATTATTGGCTAGACAGTGCGCAGGAAAATCACTCATAGGCTATCCAGAGTTCATTGCTGCTGATGTTGCCAAAATGAGGGCCATCACGTAACCGGCTTTCTCAGTCACTCTGTGTCATGAGCTATCAAAACCTAATGTGCGTGTGGGCTGATAAAGCTGTTCTGGAATGAGAGCCCGTGTCTAGCTGCCCCCCCTTGATTTTCAGAGTGAACGAGTCGTCCCATTACGATCTAGCCTTTACAGACGTGCATTTTAAACCGGGCCAGATCCGGAGGCATTTCATTGAGGTTCCTGAGGGCGCGACGTGGGCTGGTGAGTACGAGCAGCGTCGGTCTGACCCTAATCTTCAGGAGCGGGGCCTCTCGCTGGGGCATGACACGTGGGGCCCGCGTCACTCATGACTGCACCCCGGATCCGCGCCCACACTGGCTGTGAAGCCCTGGTACTCTGTTGCGTGGGCACACCACCCCAGCTCCCTCGGGCCGTGCTGGGACTCAGGGTTTTGATTTAGTGCGGTCACGCCTGGGAGGCAGCGGCAGCCCCGGGCCGGCGTTGTCCGACAGCGCCAGGAGCTCCTGCTACGGGCCCAGCCGTTGAGCGGCGGCTCTGGTCAGACGCACAGCAGCTGCATGAGGCAGTGAGCGTGTGGAGGCTCACCCCGAAGCTGACGCCGTTGGGCGGGGGGCCGGGGGAGGTGCGGCTGGCCGGGTATGGAGACCAAACATAGTCTGCACATCCGACACAAACACTGGGTGGTCGAGAACGGAAGCAGGTCAGAGCAGCTGCTCTTTCCGGTGGAGGATGTTGGTCAGAGGTTAGACTTTTAGTTGTGAGAATGGTAAGTTGAAGAAGCCCAGTGTCCGGCAGAAGGTCACCAGTTAACAGGACTTGAAATTCCCCAAGAGAATAAATCTTACACGTTCCCATCACCAAAAAAGGTGGGTACCTGTGAAGCGCTAGATGCGTCCCCTACCCAAATGGTGGTGGGCGTGTCACAGTGCTCTCGTGTATCAGACTGGCGGGTGGCACGCCGCCAGCTGACACAGCCTTGTCTGTCAGCCTGTCTCAGGAGAGCTGAGGAAAAAGCCATCCGAAGGAAGACAGAACATGTACTGCAGGGGATTCCTGTTTCAACGAATTAGAAATATTGTCAGGCCATGAGATTGTCCGTGGCAGTTGCCTCCGTTCACAGAATTCTGTGTCCGCCTGACGTTGGGGGCCAGAGACTTGCCCTCGCTCCGCTCCCCTCCCCTCGGGCCTGAAGGGTGGCCCGAGAGAAGCTGTCCCAGCGGGCCTGACTCACCCTGACCCTGCCACAGAGCAGAGCTCAGTGTGTGCTTCGGCGCCGACTGTCTAGAAGCGGGTGGGACTCAGATAACCGAAAGGGGGTGGCGGGGACCTCATCATTGCGGGTGGGGTTGGATACATAGATGCTATGGAATGCAGGCACGATGGCAGGTAGAGGTTTCAAAAATTCCGCCCCTTTATCCGGCAAGAGGGTCTAAGGAGGTGCTGAGGAAGGTCATCTCGGGTTCCTCTGTGGACCGCTGGTGACTGACGGTGTTTTCTGCAGAGTGGCTGTTGTTTTAGTCCTGGTGGACTTACATCCTGTCACTGAACCTCTACTCTTTCAGTTCATTAGTTTTCTATTGACGCGTGGGTGTTTAAGGAAACAGATTTCCTTTGAATATGCCGGTTCATTCTTGCTGTATTATGCCCTAGCGAGTAGGCATGACTGAAGCCATTTTGGATGGGCATGAGATCCTGTATCTCTCTCTGAACCCTCACTTCTCCTCACTTTTAGAAGTCACAGTGTGTTCCTGTTCCTCCGAGGTGGCGGCCAAGTTTGTTCTCCATGCAGTGCAGCTGGTGAAGCAGAGAGCCTACCGCAGTCACGAGTTCTATAAGTTTTGTTCCCTTCCAGAAAAAGGCACGCTGACGGAAGCCTTTCCTGTCTTGGTGGGTTTTAATTTATCGTTTGAAATGCTGAAACAAATGTCTTTTTGCTGTTGCTCTGAGCTGAGACTAAGTATTTGCACTTGGCCGTACCGTTTGCGTTCAGAGTCCTGAGGGCTGCTGCGCGTTGCGGTCGGCCTGCAGGCCAGGCGGAGCCCCGCTGAGGGGCTCCTTCACTCACGGTGCTGTGGCCCTGCTCGGGGCTTCCTACGTGCCTGTGGGAACTGACCTTCCTGCTCATGCCTGTGGTTGAGGCCAGGAGGCCAGTTTGCCTCCTGCGCGGCGGCAGGGGGGCGGCTCGGTGCGCTCCCCACAGGCGGCCTTGGTAGCCGCCAGCCGCGGCTGTGCCCTGTGCCGTCTGTGTCCATCGTGCGACGCCTCCCAGACGCCACGGACGGGTCGGCAGGAAGCCTCACTCAAGACTCGGGGCTGCGGGCGGCGTTGTCTGGCTGGCGGGTTGGCCTCGGGGGCCGTGACCTCCTCTGGCTTTGGCTCCCGGCAGCTCTGAGCCCGCGCCTGTGGCGGGGCCGCCGTGTGCTTCCAAACGCCACCTCGGGTCTCCCGGGAGCAGCAGGCAGGGTGACGCCCGCGTGGCGGGAGCCGCCGTGTCTGTGCGGCCGTGACCGGCCCCTCCCGCGCAGCCGGCAGCAGTTGTATCTGTGAAAATACAGCGGGTGAGAGCTGAGGACTGCTGTAAAGTGCCTACTGTCTGTATCTGTATGCCGAAAGGAAACGAGAGGAAGGGCTCACACCTTCGTTTTCCTCTGCAGGGTGGGAAGGCCATTGAGTTCTGCATTGCGCGGTGGTGGGCGAGTCTGAGCGACGTGAACATCGACTACACGGTTTCCTTCCACGGGATAGTGTGCACTGCCCCTCAGTTAGACATCGTAAGTCCCAGCTCGCCTTCGAGGGCACTGCCAGCTGTCACCTGTGCTACCGGAAGGTCATCATGGGCTCGTTTAATGTCGCCGCTGGTTCATTTACACAGCAATGGAAATTACCTCCAGTTCTGGAAATAATAGTGCCTTTGTTTACGGGTGCTTATAGAATGCATGAGACATTTCTTTTGGGTACAAAGTATTGTTTAAAAGTAGCTTATCTGAATAAAGCCTGAGGAGCTAATTTGTCTTCTCCGCTTGTAGCATGCATCGGAAGGAATCAACCGTTTTGATGTCCAGTCGTCCTTGAAATACGAAGATCTGGCTCCCTGCATCACCCTGAAGAGCTGGGTTCAAACCCTACGGTACCGCTGACTGTTTTGGGGTTGCAGACACGGTGAAGCTGGGCTCTCTGACCCCCTGGGAAGAGTCATTTCTTCACAGCCGTCTGAATGCTTGGGGGAAGCTCCGGTTTATGGCTCTGCGGGGTGGGGAGCGCCAGCAGCTCCGAGCCCTAGAGGCCGCGGAGGGAGGCTCTCGGCGTGGCGCCACAGTTGGGACAGGAGGGCACAGCAGGGCCTGGCCCGGCACTGCCAGCGAGTCACGCCAGTGCTGCCCCCTGGCTCTGTCAGGAGAGCTGAGTGACCCTTGGAAGGGCTTTGATCACGCAGGATGACCTTTGTACTGCTGGGCCTCAGCTGCGTGGCGCTGTGGTCGGGTCAGTAAGAGCAGGGGGCACTGGGGCCCGTATCACAGCTGTCCGGAGGGCTGTGTATAGGAATGCTTCCGTATTATTTTGTGATATGTTATAGAGTCGTCGATTATAGGTTAGTTTGTTTCACTAATTGACCTCTTGAATCAAACAGCCATGCAATTGTCTAATTACAGCCCACTGAGTGCAAAAACAAAACCTTTAGGCTCAAGGGATGTATTGCCAAATAACCGTCAACTTTACGAGATGATCCTGACCTACAGCTTCCATCAAGTGAGTGTTCCTATGATAAAGTGTAGCCTCGCAATGAACTTTCAAGTTTTATGAATCATAAAATCAAAATGGAAGGGCACTATGAAATGGAAAAGATTCTAGTGATTAACATTGGTTAATGAGAATGATTTCGCTGGAAATGATAACCTGTCATAATCTAAGGGACCATTCAGATCTGAAGTCCCAAATTATAATGTGGTAGTGACAGGCCTTTGAGCCCTAGTAGTGGTCACCTCTTCAGTGATACTTGTCCAGTGTTACCTGTCCAGTGGTGAGGTGTCTTCTCGGGTCGAAATACCTTCTGATCACACTAATGCACCTGCTTGCTCGTAGTGAAGCTGATGTCAAAACAGTCAAGCATCAGAAAGTAAACTAAATTGAACGAATTCTAAAGACAGTTAAACCTATAAGAGCAGAGGTTTCAGTAAAACTTAATGAGTAATAGGAAATCTTGCTCATGATGTTTAGGGGATGGTAGATTTCAGTGAGTTGTCCAGTTTCAATTGTATAAGGTAGTTAGAGATTCCGAAGAATATGTATCACTTTATTAATGAATACAAATAGCTTGGTTGGTTAGTTTGTAAAGGAGGAGTGCCTTTCATTGGTGTCAGATGGTGGCTGTTCTGCACTCTTGGTTACTGCAGGAAATTATTCGTAAGACCGAAATGTGAAAGTCTCATCAGTAACATTACACATCTAAATTAGAAGTTATGAAAGCCATGTCATGTAATGCTTATTTTTCACGTAGCCCAAGAGCGGAGAAGTAACTCCAAGCTGCCCTCTACTTTGTGAATTATTATATGAATCAGAATTTGACAGCCAACTCTGGATTATATTTGACCAGAACAAGAGACAGATGGGCTCGGGCGACGCCTACCCACACCAGGTACAGATGGCGAGCCAGTGACAGCTTGTTTGGGTGGTGGGAGCTCCGTGTCCGTTGTGACTTCGTGTCCCCTGTGTGAGTGTCTGTGTGTGCGTGTCTGAGTGCGTGTGTGAATGTGTGTCAGTGTGTGCGTGCGTGCGTGTGAACAGGTGCTGGGCTTTGTGTGTCCTCTGATTCCTCCCTGTTCTGCTTCTCCTTACCAGGGTCTCAGTTTGTTGGGCTGCCTTTTCACTTCTACCAAATGTTGTTTGTTCTTTTCTAGTACTCTTTGAAATTGGAGAAAGGAGATTATACAATTCGACTGCAGATTCGCCACGAGCAAATCAATGATTTGGAGCGTCTTAAAGACCTGCCGTTTATCGTTTCCCATAGGTTGTCCAATACCTTGAGCTTAGATATTCATGAAAATCACAGCCTTGCACTTCTAGGAAAGAAGAAATCAAGCAGTCTGACGTTACCACCCAAGTACAACCAGCCCTTCTTTGTCACCTCCTTACCTGACGACAAGTGAGTGCCGTCGCTCTGGGTCAGCGCCTGGCCGCAGCGGGCTCTGCCTCTGGCTAGGCTGGACGAGCGCTGCCCTGAGGCCCTGGGCCGTTCCACTGTGGGCTGCTTCTCCCTTTGAATTTTAAAATTCAGCTTTGAAGTTGAGCTTTGGGGATCATTTCAGAATGGGGCTCTTCCGATGTTTTTCCCAGTGGCCTTTGTAAAGTGCTCTCTCGTTTTCCCCTCTTTTGTGTTTTCTCACTAGAGTCCCTAAAGGGGCAGGGCCCGGGTGCTACCTCGCCGGATCCTTGACCCTGTCAAAGACTGAACTTGGGAAGAAAGCGGTAAGTACTGGCTGTTTCACTTGACACCGAAATTACACAGTCCAAAGTTTCCATTTCTTTAAAAGATGGGAATGAATTCCACCTTCAGAATGATTAAAAATGAAGATCTTCCCCGGGGGGTGGAAAAGTTACAGTTCTTTTCCCAAGTTCCCGGTAATATCTGACTATACTCAAAAGTTTTTAATATACTTAGAATTCACTTTCCCAAGACTAAATATTCAGGCCCTTTCTACCCTGCACAGCTAGTATACTTGAACTTCCCGTGAAACATACAGATCCAAATCAAACTTGGCTTTCATAAATGAGGTGTTTCAAGGTAGAGCATTTTATGGAATTATAACTGATACAATATTATGGACATAGGAAGAAGTCAGATCCTCTTAGCTTCATTTATTAGCTTACTTCTAATAAATACTATTTTTCATACTTGTGCAAAGACCTTTCTCTTACTGGAATGTTGTATATTTATATAGTTATGAGTTATTGCATCTCAGTGCCACTGAAAAGTGGCCATTCTTAAGTTTTGCATTTCTCTCTAACATTTGCTCTTAGAAGTATGTGAGCAAGGGCCCCCCTAAAGCTGGGTGCCATAGTGCAGTTATGAAGTGAGCAGGTCTCGCACGGCTGAGCGGCCACCTTCGCTGCCCCGGACAGACGCTCAGGTCTTTTATCCGTTGTCACGGAAGCACAGCATGGGGATTTTGTGCTTATAAAGAGTTGATGTGCCCTTGCATTTCTTGAGTTTCTTTGCAGTCTCCACTATTTACGCATGGTGGCTCTGTGTGTATATATACTTAAAAGTATGTCTGCATATCCCTAAAGGTAGGTATCTCTGTGTATGTAGATACACACTTCAGAATAATTTGAGGGGAATCATTAGTTAGCATGCCGGAATTCTTACATGCTTGATTGAAGAAGTCCTAGCTTTCGGTTTTTGTGGACTTCACTTCCTGGGCGCCCGCCCCACTACAGGCCTTGAGCCCCTGCCCTGGAGGACGCTCCCGAGCGTCCACTTCCTGGCGGTGGGCATGCCAAGAGCCATTGATTGTAAAAAGGATGCTTTCAGTCATTCAGAGGCAGTTGCCACTCCTCAGGGTATTCTTTGAGAGGCAGTGGAGAAATGAAATTATAAACGTGCGATTACTAGTTAATACTTGTCAGGGTAGATTTCCTTGACAGCAAAACCCTAAAGCTACTGAGTTAATCATACTCACACCCATTGTTTATTTAAGCTTAGTTTTGCATTTCTGGTGACTTAACGTCCTTCAGAGAGGACTGCTCATTTACTTGTCCGACTTTCACAGTGATGCTTGTGATTGCTGAGCGCCCTGGGAAGCCAGGGTCTGTGGGCCGGCAGCTAAACTTGCGAGTGCTCAAGACTTCACGTTTTGACTACAAGTAGACCTTGCACCACAGAACTTTTGTAATGAAAGGTTGAAAGACATTCACCCCATAGGAATAGCATACTTGAGTGCATTTTTCTTTCAAAAGTGAAAGTGGCAATGCTGCTTTCTTTCAAAGCTGCCGTTGTGACCACAGGCCTGAGCCTCCTAAATCCGGGGACACGTGCAGGTGGAGCGTAAGCTGGAAGAACGTTAGCAGAGCGGCGTGTCCCCGTGGAGAGTGCATGTTTCTTACAGAATGTCCTTCTAACTCCCAGGGGCAGGCTGCAGCAAAACGACAAGGAAAGTTTAAAAAGGTACTGATTGTCAGTTCTTAAAAAAGATTGCTTAAAGCTTTATTTGCATATTGAACTTTTTCCTATCACTATTATAGGTTTTTAAAAACCTCTCCCTTAGTTTCTTTTCTCTTGAGTTCTGCAGTATAGTGCTTTTAGCTTACCAGCGTTGACATACTGCTTTTCTGAAGGGTTTTCCCTCCCACAAATTTCTGGAAGACCCCCCCCATCGTCTTGTATGTGTAGAGAAAATGTTAATGTTCATCAGTTGTTACTGCAGCTATGAAACTGAGTAATATTTGCAATACTGCCTATCTAAAATCCTGTAGACATGAATGTGATTTCTTTTTGCTCGTATGTAGGACAAAGTAGTTATTTTTGAATTCTAAAAATATTGTTAAATTGGATAACTTGATTAATAAAATCTTGTTAAGATACATAAGGTAAACTTTGTTCCCCGCTCTGCATTTTCTGAGCTCTGGAAGGTCAGAGACAAAAATAGCAATGTGATACAGCCAGGACTGAACTAAGGACCACTGACCTCAAGTTAAAACATACACCGAGACCACTTGCAGATTTTCAGACCGTAGCTGAAGTGATCTCTAACTGGCTTCCTGCAGCTGAGGACACAATCTAATTGCAAACCAAACTGTGCATGAAAAATTCTCCAAGCATATTTGAAAAACGTGTGCACATTGGTGAGTTCCCTGGCGAAGGCCTGCGGGCACCATCGGTTCCCCGTGATGCCTCGTGCTCCTGCGGGAAGTTCTGTACCAGGAGGATGAGTATGTTGAGGCACAGACCAGAGAGGACCCGGTCTTTCTTAACTCTATAAAGGGAAATGAGGGATCACCATTTGTAAAAGGTAAAACTAGTTCATTAAAGTGACTTCTGAAATGTCTAAGTTATGCTGGAGAGGTATAGACAAAACACACCCCAGGACCATCTTTCCAGGTGGGTATCTGCCCTCCCTAGAACAGTATTTCTCAGCTCGGAGGCCACGTGCGCTCACTGCCCGGAGCGCAGGCGACATTCAGCCGCGACAGTCGAACGGGCTGTGTCCGCGCACCACACGCAGCGCTGTAACTCGCTGCATGTGCAGTTCGTCTTGGAGTGGTCGGGAGAAACAGAAAGACGCGCAGGAGCCCCCGAAGAACAAGGCGCCGCACAGGCCGAGCCGCGCGGTGGTTCCGTTTTGCGACCGCCTCGCCGTGCTCCAGGGCCGCGGTGCAGGCTGTGCGCATGAGGTCTGTAAACGAGGCCGTCGTCGGGCGGACTGGGCTGCGGCCTCCCGGCGACTGGCTGCAGAGCGCGCTGGCGGCGCCGCCTGCCCCTCCCGTTCTCCCGCTCGGTCACGGGGCTCTGGCCAGGTCGCCATCGGGAGCTGTGGGCGCACGTGCGTGCACGCACACGGGCAAGACCGCGCAGCGCTGGCCTGGGGAACCCGCCGGCTAGCGGCTGTGTCTAACCCTCAATGGATTTGTGCTCAGCTTCAGTAACTTTTGATGTAACGAATGTTATCTTTTTGTAAAAAAAAAAAAAAAGAGTATTTTTAGCAGCTTCCACACTCAAATTTTTTCATCTTTAAAATAGCTACTTTTGTTTTGCATTTATAGTTAGGAAAAAGTTGAAAGCTAAAAAACAATAATTTTGGAATCAAAATTTAAATAGTGCTATGTTGCTACACACAAAAAAATGCTACTGGCTTGGCAGGTGGGTTGGTTGTTTTCTGAACAGTGCTGCTCAGTGTTGAAATTCCATTTCAATGACTGGAATCTTTTGGTTTAAAACTTACTGTGAGAATCTGTAGCGAGGGGTTTTAAATTCAGGTTTTTTTCTGTACGAAAGTGGTAGTGATGAGAGCCTGCCCTCCTAGTCTCGGAGAGGAAGGTGCCCCCTTAACCAGAGGCTGGGGGCGGGGGGTGCCGACCAGAACGTGGACGGCCACGCTTACCCTGGCGCCCGCCGTGCCCCTCCCACGTGCCGCGTGGCGGACGGGAGCGTGGCCTAGCGCCACGCTCGGACAGAGCGCGGGAGGCCATTTCCCCGGCCGCGGGAGGCGCCGCGTGTGGCTCTGGGCGAGGCTGGCGCAGCCTGCCCCTGCGCCCTTGGGGCGAGCTTCTGACGTAGGTCCCTTAACTTGGCGTTGCCAGGGCGGAGGGCCCCAGGAGAGCGGCCCCCCAGAGCGGGGTCATCCCGGGGAGCCAAGCCGGGGCCTTCTCGGTCCCCACGTCTGGTGGGACGGCTGCCCGCGGGCTCTGGGGCGGGCACAGACGTGGCACCTGGACGCCCCCTTGGTCCATGCACTCGATGCCCTGAACGAGCCCTGAATCTGGAGTCCGGGCTCCACCCGGCCCACTCTCAGGGCTGCTGCATCGGGGTCCCTCTGTGCATGGCGCGATGAGCCCCGGCAGAAATTTAACCAGGAGGTCGTGAGAACGCGTGTTTACGCACCAAAAGTCTGTTTGGCAAAATGGGGGCCTGCAGTACGATTTTTTTTTTTTTATTCAACCTATATACTTTTATTTATTTATTTTCTGAAACAGCTATTACTAGGGCAGTGAGTCTTTTGGCTCTAATTTGAGAAACTGTTAATTAAAGCAAACCTAAAATCTTGATTTCACAACATTTAAATGTGAGCCCCAAGATAGGATTTGAAGATCCCACGCATTGAGGACGCCTCGTTACCGCGCCCCAAGCAGATCAACAAGCATCGCACGACGCCCCTCCCCAGATAAGGCAGAGGCCCCGCTGCAGACAGACGCAGCTGCGCATTCCCCTGCCCCTGGGGGAGACCAGGACACCGAAGAGCTGTTGCTGGCTTGCTGACCTCTCGCACCTCCCTCCTCAGCCTTTCCCCAGCCGCCTGCAGGAGGGCTCTGGGCAGGGTGGGGCGCCCGGCTGCTTCCAGCCAGCACTTCCGCCCGGGCCACCTCTCGGCTGCAGGCAGCACAGCTGCTGCTCCTCCGCTCGCGCTGGCGGCCCTCGGCCCTCTGGCTCCTCTCTCTGGGCAGCCGCCGGTGGGCAGCGCTTGCCCTCTGGGTCTCCCCCAGCCCAGGCCGCCCGCGGCTGCCGCTGCTCCCTAGCTCAAGGCCCCGTCGGGACTCCCAGAGTCACTTCCTAGCCGCTAGCTTGAGTGCGTCCTCCTCTTCATCCGTTCCCTGGGGCGCCTCAAGAGCCCTCACAGACAAGCCAAAGTCTCAGCGCTCCCGGGGTCGAGCCCGGGCAGAGCAGCCCCGCAGCCGCGCCGCTGTGGCTTCCGGCCGCGCCCGCGCATTGGCCGTGGGGACCCTGCGTGTGCTGTCACGCCGGCCGTCCTCCTCCAGACACCCCCGCTCTCCTTTCTGGGTTCTTTCCTCTGGGGTCACTGAGGGCCACACAGCAGATGTCGCCTCTGCCGGTGACCGTCCAGCCTTTCCTGGTGGCCACGCCCCGCGGGCCAGCGCCCCTCTTAGCTGGTTGGTGGCTGGTGTCCCCCACCTCGGTGCCTGCTGGTGCTTGTTGGCCCCCGGTCAGGAATGGCCTCACCCGCACCACAGGGGCTGAGCCCTGGTGAGACGTGGGGAAGAACTGCTCTTTGATGTGACTTAGAAAACTTAACTCTACGTCGTCCTAACGTCCTCGCCGTCTCAGATTTAGATGTGAAACCCAAGTGGGCAGTCACTCGTCTGCCCACTAAAACTGAAGGTGCCAAATACTCAAAAAGCGAAAAGTCAGCTCTACCTCCCCTATTGTAAAGGTGCTAAGGAAAATCAAAACTTTAAAGATCGTGAACTTTGCTCCGGGAGAAAATTACTTTGGCCGCAGACCAAAATGCTGGCTGTGTCGGGCCTCGGAGTCTGGAATGGGGTGCGCAGTCCCGGGCCGCGTGCCCGAGTCGGCTGCTGGTGCTGGTTCGGAGTCGCCAAGGCCGGCTGCTAACCACGGCTTTCTCCACGCTCGTAGGATGTGATCCCTGTTCATTACTACCTGATCCCTGCGCCAACGAAGACGAAAAACGGCAGCAAAGACAAAGAAAAGGATGCAGAAAAAGAGAAAGATTTAAAAGAAGAGTTCACGGAAGCGTTACGAGACCTTAAGATCCAGTGGATGACCAAGTAAGTTCCCCGGACGGTGACCCTCGGGGCTGTCCTCGGCCCTGGGCAGCCGGTCAGAGGGCTGCAGGGGCTTGCGGGCTCTCGTGTAGTTGTGATGACCACCTTTTGCGATGTTTTTTATTTTATTTTAATCGGTTACTCTGGCTTGCTCTGGGAGGAGACTTCTACTGGACGATTTTGCAGAGAGTGTTCAGCCCCTTCTGCCCGCTCGCCAGAGCTACCACGGGCCTGTACCACCTTTCTCTGTTTGCACGTGTAGCCGTGTGGGTGATTTCGGGGCCTGGCTCTCCGGGTCCTGTTAAGTTATGACTTCCTGTGCCGCTGGTCCCTTCAAAGCCCACTCTGTTGACTGTAGTGGATGACCCTGTGGACGAAATATAACATTTACGGGTATTTTGGCACAGACATGCCCTTATGCTTCCTACAGTTCCCGCCAGATGCACCTCAAAAGAATAATTACTACATCAGAAATATTATTTTTAAAAGTCACACTTGGCCAAGTCGCTCTCCAGAGAGACTAGAACAGTCGCACCCGGCCGGCCGCGTGTGCGAGGCCTGGTGCTCCCTGCCGGGCGGCCAGGAGTCCTCCCGCTAAAATGAACCCTCGGGCTGTGGCAGCGGAGGGAACCGGCCACAAGTGAAGGTCCATTTTAAAAAACCAGCGTTTTCAAACCTGCGGAAGTGATCTTGGGGCAGGTGGCAAGGGGGAAACCTCAGCTCAGGAACATCTGCGAAAACTGAAAGAAAGCAGGGAGCGAATCTGCTGTCCTCCCTGGCCGGCCGCCGGCCGCTCGCCCCCAGCCGAGGCCTTCCCTCCTGGAGGGAGCCGCTGTGGCTGTCAGGGGCCCTCCTCCTGCCCTGGGGTGGCCCCTGGGCCCCACCTCCCTGCCTGTGCCAGGCGCAGCCGCCGGCCACCCTCCCCCAGGCAGCCGGAGCAGCCGGCACAGCGGGTTTCCACCTCCCCTCCGAGGACAGGGCGGCGCAGCATTGCTCAAGACCTGACATTTCTCAAAAAAGCGTACAGTAAAAATATTTTTCGTTCTGATCTTGACTTTGCAGGTGAGCATATGTATAGGTGCTACTGCAGGTAGTGGAAACCCTTGTCAAAATTGTGCATTCCTGACGATGCCTTCTGGTCAGACTAGAGCTGCGAGGCCAGCATTGTCATATATCATTGTGTGTTTGTGCCAGAAGTGAGGTGACGCGTTTCTGTCTGCCTTTGCCCAGGCTGGACTCCAGTGACATCTACAACGAGCTGAAGGACACATACCCCAACTACCTGCCCCTCTACGTGGCGCGACTTCATCAGCTGGACGCCGAGAAGGTGGGCGCGCCTTGGGAATCAGAGCACCTGCCCCTGTGTGTCGTGTTGGGTGAGGATTGTGGTTTGGGTAAAGGTGCACCTCTGTTTTATTTTGTTTTCAGTTCTGTTTTCAAATCGAATCTTCTGCTAAGCTGTTTTCACGACACCCGTTAGAGGACCTGAGCGCAGTTCCGAGTTTAGTTAGGGCTCTCGCCCCCCGGGCACGGTCAGGGGAGGGGGAGCGGTGCTGCCCTGGGCTTGCTGCCGGCAGGCCACGGCCAGCCCGGGAGAGCAGGCGGCTGGGTGCTCACTGGCGGC